TGAGAGAGGAGTGAACATGAGTGAATTTTGAGAATAGACAGAGTGGGGAGGAAAGAAACGCAACCATTCACCTATAAATTCTCTAAAATAAATTAAATGAAAAATAAAACACAAATGTGGCTGAAGTTTATGGATTAATAATCAAAAGGATTGACTAGGCTCCATTTTGAATATTATTACAACCCTATAAACAAGCTGAAAAACAAATCTTTACTAAGTGTTGAGTAAAGGCGTAGCAGTATGTTTCCAGTGAGAAAGCCTGACTGTGCATATAATAATGGCTATGAACCCTTTAAAGTACAATTGAAGCTTCTATTAAGATATTTAATTTGAATTATCACCAGCGAAGCACCAGGAAATGAAGAATATTGATGCTGATCTGATTTTGGTACCTGGGCACTCCTATGAACAAGACTGTAAACTTAGGCATATACATGGAGAGATAAAATCTAGGACACATGAAACTTCTAAATTCATGGAGGAGGAAAGAACCCTCCAAGGAAGACTAATTGATTATCAGAGAAGCAAGTAGGAGCCAACGGTAGTAAATGATGTTGAGAAAGCCATTAAAGGAGACAAATTAAAGAAAGAGATTTGTATCAAGAAATTAAATGCCATCAAGGAAACAGGCAAACATAAGGAATGTCACTCTTTCTTGGGAGAAGAGTTTAGTTTAGCAGAATCAGAATTAGAAAACTAAAGAAAAAGGTTTCTTGACCTAAAATTGTCCAAGGGTAATCCAAGGCTCAAAGAAGACTAATATTCCAATTAAAGTAAGTTCTGATGGAAGCACACAGTGATAATGTAGCTGAGTGTGGTGAAAATCCAATTCTTCCAGGGGCGGTGGAGATACAGGAAAGAGAACTGGAGTTCAGCCTGAATCCAAAAAGCAAACCAGATCAAGTAGAAGCATAATGCTGTAGAATTAATTTTTCTCATTATCCTTAATGAAACTCATTGTTTGTTTTCCAGCAAGGCACTCAGATGATTACCACCCTGAAATTAAGTAGCAAAGCATTGTGGGTTAAAAAATAAAAAGATTTCCTAGAAGATCTTTGGAGATCTTGTTTGGAATACATTTTAAATGAAAAATCAATGATGTTAGGGTGCAAATTATCTTGCTATTAACAGTGCACATAGGTGTTCTTGTTACCTTAGAGATTTTTGAGTAGTTATATGTGAAAAAATGTATGTCTAAAAGGTCTGCCTACAGTAATATTGAAGTTAACATGGTAAATTTGAGTTGTCATTGTTTTTTGACACATATTAGAGACTTTATCCTTTCATTTTTAAGCTGAAGAAGCATTAGAATAATTTTTCTGAAATTTTACTTTGCATGAGTTATTAGGCTCAGGCATTTTCAAATGGATTAATTTATAATGGACATCTTGGATGTGTTGAGTGTTTGTACCTCCATCACAGAACTAATGTGACCAAGGCTAAGGTTTCAATACTTGCCAAAATTTTGTCAATTGTGAGAAATGGAAAGTCTCAAGTTCTAAATAGCACTTGGCATAGGACTAATGGGTATAAATCATCACAGAGGCTAGAAAATGAGAATTGTTAAGATTTAATCAAGAACGTTTATTTCTTTTATGTAGCTTCTTGTGTATATTTCTCCAATCCTGTGTTCCCAAAGTGGTGAAAGAATTTTATCAGCTTCTGCCATCCCCAAGGTCGTACTCTTAATAAAGGAGCCTTTCCTAGCAGGTCCCAGCCAGCTTCCTCATGTTTTATTAATGGGAAATATTATACAGACACAAGTCCTAAACAATCAGTGTTAGCCAGGAAAAGGACAAGTGGAGTTATGTTAATTTATACTTGAGTAGATTGATTCACCAGATTCAATATGGAGAAGATGTAATGGAGATATTAATGTATGAATTCACACACGAGCAGTATACCATATTAGGTAAAGTTCAATTTGAGGATATAAATTTATCTGTGAAAAATTACATTATCACTTCAGTAAAGCCTTGGGGTATAAATTTGTCTATGAAATTTACATTATTATTTTAGTAATGATTGAAAGATCACAAATGTATTTAATTAAAGGATTATAGGATTCAAAATTTGACTCTGGTTCATACACACACATATTCTTAATTGTACATACATATTAAAATAATAATTTAGATATTCATAACTGAACAGAGTGAAGAATAAATAATATATGAATGACAGATGAATACCAAGAATGCCACATTTGACATTTGCCATGACTAAATAATCAACCAAAAATCATGTTACATATATTTGTAGTTATTAAATGAACTCTAAATTATCACATAGTTTAATTCATGGCAATTTCTCTAAATGTGGTTGAATTAAAAGTAATTGCCACTCTCTATTAAGAATATGATGCCATGATGGAAAGAAATACAAAGTTCTTTGGATTCTGAGAATTGCTGAGTATATGTGATTCGAATTCACACATTTCATCATAATTTCTGTTGAGTTTTTTGAGAGTATCTGTGAACATACTTTCAGGTGGTGTAAAAGAGGCAATGTTGTACCATCACCGTAAATTGGAATTCAGTGTGCTCTTGCGGGAAGCATTTCCATTTGCATTGGTATTCATGGAAAAAAAAAAAAGAGTTCTTGGCATAAAGACATGAGATGGAGTGCTCATAAAAATGGATTCACTTATCCATCAATGTAATCTTGGATCAAGAGGTGTAAATATGTATAGTCTAAAATATTTAGTTCAAATGTAGCAAGAAGTTTTACAACATTAAAGTGCTTCTGTGTCCTTCAAGTAAATAAAGAATTATGCAATATTGTCACACCGTTAATGGTGCTGAGGATTCTGGAGCCAGGATGAGTTTTGTCAGGGTGAGAGGCAAAGAAAAGAAAAACTGATAGCTCGTGTTTTAACGCATGTATTATGAAAAGATAAGAGAGACAAATTGAGACCTTCTCCCTAAAGGTAGTGTTGAGAAAAAGTAATTTACTCCATTTCACATGTTTATTTCCATATCAGTTTTTTAAGATAGTTTAGATCAATAATTAAGAATGTACTCAGAGCCATAGCAGGTGGGTTTCTGAGTTCAAGGCCAGCCTGTTTTACATAGTAAGTTTCAGGTCAGCCAGACTATCATGGCGAGACACTTTCTCAACAAGCAAGCAAACAAACAAGAAAGAAAGAAAGAAAGAAAGAAAGGAAGGAAGAAAGAAAGAAAGAAAGAAAGAAAGAAAGAAAGAAAGAAAGAAAGAAAGAAAGAAAGATGTACTCAGGCATCTTGTCAGATTATACTAAATGAGAATTGTTTGAATACTCATAGTGACAAAATATTAGTATAATTATAGTTTCTATATGACATTACTTGCAGTTCCTTGGCATTGTCTACAAGTTAGCTATTAAAGGATACTATATCATATTTTTTTCTTGTTCATACAGCTTGAAATCCCAAAATCATCTCAAAAGAAAAATAAAAAATATTAGATTTCTAAAGTGCTATTTCTTGTCTAAAAAAATAGTATGTTTTTTTTTCCTTTTTCTTTTCTTTTCTTTTTATTTTTTTAAAGTACAGATAAAAGGAAGATTTATTTTTTAGTCTTGACAGTCAACTGTCTGTTTGATGTTTCCATTACTTTAAAAAGCAAGATTTGGATCCATGTAGTTTTAACTATGAATATGAAATGTTTAGTTATAAATGAATTTCTTTATATGAATATATATTTGTGTACATATTGTACACAAATATATGTAAATGTTACATATCATTAAACATTTCTACAGAGCATAATATGACTGACCATTTTCTCCTCTGTGGAGACTTTTGTCTACCGTCAACATTTAGTTTGTTACAATTTATAATGTCTTCTTGACTTTTTTATTTTAAACTAACAATAGTGGTATTCATCATAGCATTTGGAAGAGTTAGTGGAAATGTGCTTTTGAAGTATTTCACATATACTTAGAATCGGTAGTAGTAAAAATGCCCTGTTCTTAGTACATAAATCTATGCACAATTCTCAAAAACTGATAAAGGTAAAAATAATTTTGTTTGGCTATAATGATTTCCTGTGTCAAAACTATGTAATTAATTGGGACTGGAGACAAGGAGGCCCTCTCCTGCTACTGACCAGTGCAACTATTTTAGACCATTTTTGCCTTTCTGTGTCTTTAATATTATTTCCTAATTAAAGGCTTCCTAATGCTAATAGGCCATTGTTGATTTGGAAATTGACATAGCAAATCACTTAGCAGCCTCTAAGCCTTTTAGTTTCTCTATCGATATTTTAATCATGAAATTCAAGCACCCACAATCAGGAGATGAGCTAATGTAAATGGTACCCAATGTTTTCATTGCTATGTAAATCAATACAGATATTGTGATGCCTTTCAGCTCAATGATCTATGTACTGGAAACAGGGATAGCTTTTAAAACGTGTTTGAAATGCATACCGATTACAACAACTATGGTTGGCTACATTATTTTAAAATTCATTCACATTTTACATTTTATATACATACATTCATTATACACAAAATATAAGTTGATACACAACCTTGCATACATTAGTGCAATTCAAGGAGTGTTCTCATGTATGTTCCATTTCATCATAAAATCAAGCTAAATATCACTATTTTATTCATCTCAAATGCCTGTCATTTTTATATTTTATAACTTTAATGAAGCTTCTAGTTTTCTGAACTATAAAGCACAGTATTTTATTGTTTATGCTTAGCTGGCTCTGCAGTAGTGCACAGGAACATTTTGTTTCTGGATAACTGTAACTCAGTAAGCACTGAGGAAACTTTTCTGTTCAATCTTTATAAAATATAGCCATTCTTCCTGAATTGAGAGCATGGCTCATTGTGGCTTGGAGTAGAAACCATACAAAAATTATATTATGTTGTTTAAGGGATCTTTGGGAGTATATGTGTTTAAATCATCCACAGAACAGTCAAATTACAAAAGAATACGAAATCCAAAAAATAACAATATTGCCTTTGTCTCTGGAAAGGCAAATGACATTGTGTTATTTTGCAGGTGCGTATGTGCTGCAGGTCAAAGCCACAGATGCAGATGATCCTACCTACGGAAACAGTGCCAGAGTTGTTTACAGCATCCTTCAAGGGCAACCTTATTTCTCTATTGATCCCAAGACAGGTAAAGTTTTAATTGGCCAACATTATCACCACACACTCAAATATTTAAACTTTAATCAAGAAACGACTATTCCAATCTAGCAATGTGGTTTTGAGAAGTATAGTAGATAGACTTGCAGTAAGGGAAACTGAGCATTTGCAAACTTGATGAAACAAGAATACTGGCTTTCTTTAATTTGGTCTTCTTAGGCAGACCTTCTTCTTGTTTTATTTTCCTTTTCTTTCCTTTTCTTTTGCTTTCTGTTTTTTAATTCATTTTTAACCTTTTTTTTTTGTTTCCAGTCCAGACTTTATCCCCCTTCCAGTTGGTCCACCCTCAGACTGTTCCACATCCCACACCTCCTCTCAATGCCCCACTCTGTGTTTGTCCAAGAGTATGTCTCCAACCCCCTACCCCACCAGACCTCCCCACTCCCTGGGGCCTCAAGTCTCTCAAGGGTTAGGTGCATCTTCTCTGACTGAGTCCAAACCCAGCAGTCCTCTGCTATAGCAGTCCTCTGCTGTATATGTGCTGGAGGTCTCATATCAGCTGGTATATGCTACATTTTTAGTGGTCCAGTGTTTGAGAGATCTCTGGGGTCCAGATTAATTGAGACTGCTCATCCTCCTACAGGGTCGCTCTCCTCCTCAGCTTCTTCCAGTTTTTCCCTAATTCAACCACAGGAGTCACATGCTTCTGTCCATTGGTTGGGTGTTGTAAATAACTGCATCTGACTCTTTTAAGAACTTCTTGGGCCTTTCAGAGGGCCATCATGATAGGTCCTGGTTTGTAAGTACACCATGGCCTCAGTAATAATTTCAGACTTTGGGGCCTCCCCTTGAGCTGGATATATTTGTTCTGTTAAACAATTTATCAATGAACTTCAGATTGCAGAACTAGATATAAATAAGTGGCATATTAGGGGCTTGGATACATACAGATGACCAATTTATATTTTAGCTTCATTTTCTATCTTTTCTCTCTCTCTCTCTCTCTCTCTCTCTCTCTCTCTCTCTCTCTCTCCCTCTCTCTCTCTCTCTCTCTCAATCCACTGCAGATTTTATTCAACACACACCCAACTCCATACACCCTCTAACTGTTCCACATCCCATACCTCCTCCTCATCCTCCCGTCTCCATAAAGATGTCTCCACCCTCACCTCACACCCAAACAGACCTCCACACTCCCTTTGGCTTTTAATATCTTGAGGGTTAGGTACATCTTCTATGACTAGCTTGATTTTGAGATCAGACCCAGGATCTCTAATTAGTAAGTCAGCACTCACCATTGTGTGATCATATTTGAATGAAATGAAGTCTTCCTTTCAGACTACCTAGTTTTAAATGCTGATTTTTCTTTAAAAAGACTTAGACAAAATAGATATCACGTATCACAGCCAAAGAAGAACTTCAAGATGACACCTATTAAATCAGTTATCCACTGTATGATAAAATAGATCTCAAAATAAATTAATACTATTTTATATGGTAGCTTAGTATAATACAAAAATTCTAAACATGCTCTAGGAAATAAAATTTTACTTTAGTAATTCAAATTAAAGTCAAACGATTTTACTTTATTCTTGGGATTATAATATAAATGTGTTTCTCCATAGCTTTTCCCCTCTAGGACCTTCTGTAGACTTTTCTATATTTTTTCAATTTTATTACCTCCTTTTCTACTAATTTTTATGGTATAGCAAATATGTAAATGCATATATACTCCTAAATAGAACCAACTCAGTCCATATAGTGTTACTTGTATGCATGATTTTAAGGCTGATCATGTGACACTTGGCAACTAATTATTGTGCTCACCTTAGGACAACCCGCCTTTTCCTCTTCCACATTCCTCAGTTCCTAATGTAAGTGTAAGGACCCTTGGGCTTTTGCTATCCATTTTGGTATGTCCATTGGTATAATTCTTGCTTAAATTGAAAATTTAAATTTGTATGTTCAAGTATATTCATTTTACTTTATTTAATTTATTTGAGATGTTCATACATCCATATAATACGCTTTAATCAATTCTACCTGCAACCCCTTCATTCTTCCCCTATTCTCAACATTTTTTATCTGCCACCTACTTGTGTGTGTGTGTGTGTCATTGTTTGTCTCCCTGTCTTTCTCAGTCTCTCTGTCTCTCTCTATTTCTTTTTCTTTCTCCCTCTTTCTCTCACTCTCTCTCATAGTCTGTCTCCCTGTGTCTCTAGCTTTCCCAATCTTCCTGTCTCTCTCTATGTCCTCACTGAGTTCACTTACCTTTATCTGTATACATGCTTTGAACTACTCATTTCAGAATCTAATTTCTAATATTGTTGTAAGATACAGATTAAGTAATTATTAATCAAATGTAAATGTAGTTGAAAACCCTAAAGCCAATTAATATTGTTCAACTAATGTAGAATTGTAGAACTTTCAAGTTTTCTGACCCACCAAATATAAAATTATCTTCTCAATTATTGCTTCCCTAGTCACCCACTGTAGGCATTAACAACTTCAGAGCAAGTCAAGTGGTCACTTTGTAGCCCCAAGCAAGTGTGAAGTACCACAGGAACATCTTTTTTCACATTAAAAGATCTTTCTAAAGTGATAGTTGAAGAGGGAAATGCGAGTTAAGCATTAATCTATTTCATTGTATGAGTACGGGAAAATCTCAATGAATACATTTTTAGAGAAAAATTTTAAGCTATTATAATCAATTTGGTTGGTAGGATGTGTGTCGTGTGTGTTGTACGTGTGTGTGTGTGTGTGTGTATGTGCACATGTACATAGCATAGTGTATGTGTGGAAGTCAATGAAAATCCTTGGGGGGCTAAGTTAGTTCTCTTCTTCCAAAATATAATGCTTGAGGATTAAACTAAAGCCTCAGACTTGACATCAGATGGCTTTATCCTATAAGCCTTTTCACTCACCAACTTAAAGTATTGTGTTAAGAATGGAGTATGAACTGTGGATCTAGAAAGGGTTAATCAGCTTCAGCTGGACAGAGGGTAGGAAACTAAAAGCCAGATGCCTAATGTTTAAGTGACTGCAGGATGGAGTAAAATATCCACAAGTTATTTTTTCAGAAAATATGAGAGAAAATATGGGAAGAGGTACAGTAATATTATTTTAAGAAATTTGCTGAAATTTAAGAAAAGCATTACATATACTTGTAGATTAAAATATATAGTTAGAGCGGTAAATAGTTGAGGGAGTTCTTTACACTTTTCTCTACACTTTTCAGTGTATAGATTCTCAGATATAGAGCCATGGGTAGAATGTGAAGCCTGAAAATGAAGCAAACCTATGTGAAGAATTTATCTCTTCTCCAGGAATCTCTCTGTGCTATATTTTCTTATAGATTTATAGGCCTGTGCCAACTTTACCTTAATGAAAACCGTGACCACAAATGAAAGCATTGATGTTATCTACTGCTTAGCTCCTTGTAGCCCCTAAGGAACATCCCACAGAGACTTAAAGACAATCAGAAAGCACACTTGGTGTGTGCAGTCGTTGGCAGAGTAAGAGAGACCACATCTTGGAGGCGTGGGAAGAATTCTACAGAGTGGGTGACTTATACAAACTCATAATACATTTTCAGGAAAGACTAACATCTTAATAAGGAAAGAATCATTGTAGGTGAGACAGATGGAAAAAATATCTGACTGAAAAATACATAGATTTCAGGAAAATATGAATTTGATACATTAAGTTTTAAAAATCTATCTTCAAAATAAAACTACAAAAATAAAATTAGGTGCATAGAATAAGAAAACCTCCTCCTAATATAGTTATTATGAATAGTAGATAAATTCTAATGCACATAAAAGTGCTATTTTTCAGATGAAAATGCATGTGATGCATGGCTGCATAATCTCAGATTTATAATTTTGTATGAAGCGCTTTATTTAGAGGTAAAGGTGAATATCTTCTGGCATCAACTGCATAATATATTTCATAAGAATTGATTTTCACTGGAGACAGAAGTCTTGCTGTAACAATGCCTCAGACCACTAGACAGGATAGGAGTGGGTGATGAGGCACTTCACTAAGAGAATGAAAACTACCTCTTCATGAACAAAAACCATTAAGAAGACCTTTTGTCAAATTTATCACCTTGTGGTAGATAAGAAAAAATATCAAAAATCAAGGATAATCGCAATTTCTCAGAAATAGTCCCCATTTGTTCCAGCCATGTAGCTAGCTACCTTTTATGATTCAGCTTGCTGTTATTAAATACGATGCATGAAAACCAGTGTTATCCAAAATTTTCCTACTTGAGTGAAGAAACTATCCAAAACAATTATGAAAGGAAGTGTCTCGTCAAAACTTTCGGTGCCTACATATTTAGAAAGAGACAAATATGTTCATTATTTATTCAATTGAAAGGAGAAAGAGAACTCTGTATTAATATTGCTGTCTGATTTGCATTCTTAGTTCTACTTTTCAGTGGACTATAACAAGCTTACATATAAACGGACATTAAGGTAAATTGAGGGACCCTATTGAATAAACCAAGATAAAAATAATAGTCATAAAATTCTCTTATTTCTAATTAATTTTTCATAAGCAATAATAATTTATCTATATCTATCTACTTGGGTTTTTCCTTAAACTATTAGTAATATTTTAAAAAAAGAATGGGGCAAATTTTTAAAATATTATAGTCATATGTCTTATATTTTATGTTTGTGTGAAAGTAGAGTGTTATATTCACAAGTTATTCAACTGTCAATTCTGTTTCTGTGACAAAATACCTTGGCTAAAATTACAACTTAAAGAAGGTTAAATTTATTTGTCTTACATTTTCAGATTATGGTACCAAACTGGGAATAAGCCAAGGCAGGCACTTAAAGCCTTACATCCACATCCAAAAGCAAGCTAAAATAAATGTATGGATCCTCACTTGTTTTTTCTCTGCTTATGCTCAGCAATATTTGTCACTTGTGTAAAATTCAAGTCCTGTCCTATGGAGTGGAGACACCCACAGTGAGCTGAGTCAATTGCCAGTCAGGACAAACCACCACAGTCAGCACTACATACTACCCTGATGTAAACTCCTATACTATAATCTCTACCAAGGTGATTTTAAATTGTGTCAAGATGTCACTTAAAACAAGGCACCACAGGTGTGTAATTTCAAAACATGGAAGGAAAAACCATAGTCTAGAAAAATAAGCAATACTAATATAACAGTCTAGTACATATAATCAGGATTCCATGTCTTCATATCTTTGATAACAGCTATGTTCCATTCATGAAAACAAATGTGATTGTGAATAATTGATGCTTGTGTTTTAAGTTTTCTGTAAAATTCTTTTATTACATTTAATTTTTTGGTACAGTTGCCTGATTTGGATAGCTACAGATTGATACATGTGTACCATGTGGTGAAGATTTATTTCAAGTGAACCAGTTGTTACTTGAGAAAGGCTTATGGTATTTTGTTTCACTCCCAGTTAGTTAATATAAAAGCTTCCATTTTCTATTATGTTCAAATATTTGTAATATAAAATTTACTATTTTAACTATGCAAAGTGCAATTTATCAACCTAAACGCCTATATGTCATTCTATAACCAGCACTACCCACTGTGTCAAGAACTTGTTGATCAAATATTTTAAAGTATGTACAATTAAAATAATGTGTCCCCTATAATTTCTCTTTTCCACTGATTTATTTAAATCATCATAAAATAGTAAGGAAGTAATGGATCTACTCGGTTTTGTCTTCTTCTCTATTGCTGATACTTTGTATCATGTTCCTGTGTCAGAAGTCATAAGGAGAATCTGATAAAGATTCCTGTGGTATGGAGAATTTCTCAAGAAACGTGGTCCTGATTGTGTCACTATACATTTATCAGCAAAAGTCTCAAGCCTGTGTGTTCAAAATAAAACTTACCCTCATAGCATATCTAATATTTATTTTTTCTAGCTCTATCAAATCTGTTATTTGGTAAATTCACACACATATAAAACATACTCTGATGACTTTCTCCCTCCACCCTCTGTTACCCCCTTCCTATCCAGTCTACCATCTTCCTTCCCTACACATATTTTCCCAAATTCATGTCATTATTTTGTTTTGTGACTCACTCAACACAGACTTGTCTGTGGTCAAGGTTTAAACAACCTGTTGGAGCCTGGTGAGCAGGCTCAACAGCGGGCCCAATAGTGAAGAAGCTGAGAATGACTGCTGCTCCTTCAAAATGACTCAGTACCCCAGACACAGTGACTCATAGCCCTTCTCCAGCTATTCTGGCTCTTATATTATTTCTCCTCTGTCCATTGTTGTATGTCCTGAACTTCAGTGGAGGTCACATACTCCATTTTTTAATAGATAATCACTCAAGCATTATTATTCTCTCAGTATTAAGCACCCCAAAATCTCACATTCTCTGTCATTCATTATAAGATTTTCCCCAGGATGAAAGTGGCATAACATACTTTATCTGCAAGGTTGAAAGTTGATGTTCAGGAGGCAGCTTTCATACTTTCAATTGTGTTTCCTGCGATAACATTTCATCAAAGGACACATAATATTTATCAAGGCAATGCTTTAGGAATTGTATGAGTACTTATGATGTTTTATATCCTGAAGACTGTCTTGGTGTCACTCAATAATACAGCTTTACAGAAGTCAGATATCTATGCTAATGCTTGTAGGGTAAACAATAATAGTTCCTTTCATGACAATAATTAAAGTCTTACTTATACAAAGTAGTTATTCTTTTATATATTCATCTGAATGAGTGAAATAACATGAAACATTAAGAGAATATTGATTATGAACATGCAAGTGCAAGAGAATCAATGAACATAAAACTATATTAAGAAGGCAAAATTTGTCAAGGAAATACCATTAAGCAAAAGCCACATATTGTGTTCTTTGTTTTTCAGCATTTGCAGTATATTATACAATCATGGATACAATGGGAAATATTATTTCCTTGAATTCTCCAATATCAGATTTTAAGGGAACTCAGTATATATATATGGAGGCAGGGTTTCGGTGGTAAATGAAAAATTCACCAATTGAGCAGATCCAGTTGTCTCTTCAGAACTTCTCTCTGTGCACTACCTATGTACTGGAATTCCAAGAGCTCTACAACACTCACCAACAGTATTTTTTTTAAATACTTGGGAGCCCAGTCTCCTACAAAGAGCACAGTAAACACTTATTACACTGAGCTACTGGCACAGCACCTAATGGTTGTTTTATACACATTTATTTATAATGCACAGACTGATTGTGCCTACATCTGATGATTGAAAATTTCTTCTGTTAAATATATTATAAACACAAAATTTGACATCATAAACATACGCATCTACATGGTTCCAAATTATATCATTATTAGGAAATGGAAGTGAGCCAGTGATCATTCATGTGCCCTGGAACGATAACCCTCTTTCTCCTTTGTTTTCCTTCTTTCTCTTCCCTTACCCCTCATTCTTTTCCCATTTCTTTTTCTCTGTTATGTACAGTTTTCATTCTTGGGGATGAATAAGGTAGTGCTGTAAATGATGTAGAGATAAAGCTATATGAGCATTGAAGATAAATGAATGTTTACATAGCAATTTGACTAAAGATAATTCTGCTCAATGATATTGCCGAGCAAACACGAGTGTCCAAAATAGGCAATTATCTAGACAATGTGAGCATTGCCCTTCAGATTGATGCCGCTTAATATAAGGTATGTAAGGTAACAACATTGAGGTGCAGAGCTTAAAAGTCTTACTCTTAAAAACTGAAAATAAAGAGTCAGAAGCCTGACCTGAAGAGAAGACAGATTGGATAAAAATGGTGTCAGTACCAATTCATGAATAAAGCATTAAGAACAAAAATGACGGATGTCTTTTCTGTTACTATTTCCTGCCAAGTGCCAGACAAAATCTCAGATTGCAGTTCAATATGCATTAGCAAAAATATAGCAATGGGTAAGTAAGTAGATGGTAGCAGGCACAGATATATGGTTGTATTCTGGGATACTGATTTAAAAGCTATACGCTGTATTGATGGCTGATATTTTATTACTCAAACACATTTTTATTTAAGATACATCTTACCACTATCAAAGTCATATGTGATTAATAAAGGTTCTTCAATCTCTACCTGTTACAACTCTTGACTACCTATTGGAAGTTGATTTAAAATTAATTAACCTTTGGAATGATTCTGAAGTTCTTATATTCTTTACCATGAATAAATAGAAATATAAAGTAGTTCTTATACCTGGATACAAGAATAGAAATGTCTGGCATATGTGATATAAGATTCAAGATATTAAGTTCAATTAATTCATTCTTCCATCCAGACATTCACTTCTTCAATAACATCATCATGTGATTAAACATACAATACTTATGATTCTAAATGTCAGATATTTATACTTAAGCATAAGATAGTTTCCTTGACAGTGGATAACTTCATCTAAGAAGTCTCAAAGACCCACAATAGTAATATCTAATGATAAATAAGTGAGAGGGAGGGGATGAAACTCTTTAATTAACGTAATTAGGGAAAGTCTCAAAAGACAAAACAGGTGATGTAGAGGACATATTTTATGTATTTTTAAGTTAAGCAGATTTTTTATTGTGAAAACTACAGAATCGAGACAAGAACAGTCTTTGTAATTATATACTCAGCTCATTAACTGCCTAAATTATTCCATATGCTCATTTTAATCTAATTTTCTTCAACTCATTATTGACTAGAGTAATAAATGAAGTCTAACTTATTTGTTTTGGGGAGAGATGACCTGTCATTTTTTGTTGTAAGGTGTGGCTGTGAAAATAAATGATTAAATCACATTCTAACTTTAGGATAATTGTTATTTTAGTTTTTGGAAGATGATTTTATTGAATGTTTCACCATTAATAAGCGTAGACATAACTATTTTTTTTTCTATTTCAATTGGGTCAGGTTGGTTTGTGATGTTGATTCTGTGTTATCACTTTCCCTGCAAGGTGTCATTAGAACAGCATTGCCAAACATGGACAGAGAAGTCAAGGAGCAGTATCAGGTCCTCATTCAAGCGAAGGACATGGGAGGACAGCTCGGAGGACTAGCTGGAACTACAATTGTCAACATCACCCTTACTGATGTCAATGACAACCCACCTCGATTCCCAAAAAGTATGTCACCTACCTGTTAAGCATGTTTGTAAATGCTTCTAGAAAAAGTATCGTGCCATGTGATTTTTTTCTCTCAAAAATATATCTTGATTATGGTTTCCCCTCTCTCTCTCCCTCCCAGTTCCTTCCCATCTTTAACAACATCACTATCCAGATCCACCCTCCTAATGTTTATCATTAGAAAACACAGGCTTCTAGGAGATGACAATAAAATTTAAAAAATAAAATATGCCCAGCTGTATTTTAATATTGTAAAAAGTTAAAACATCTACAAATATAAATAATCTTTAGAAGCAGGTTATAATGGATGAAAAAATGCATGTCTTATAAATTTAAATATTCAAGGAAATTATGTTTAGATCTATGCTAATACAATAGAGTATAATTGTATAATCATACTTATACTATTAAAGTGAATAAAAAATCCATCCTAACAGTAAATTAATTAATTGCCATAATGGTTTGTTAACTAAAAAATTTTAAATTGCAAAATATGAAGTAAGGTAATTAGAAATATATGCTACACGACTTTCTATATTATACAATTGTCATACATAGATTTTGGGACTTATTTTAGCAAGTACAGCTGTTGAACCATTTTTAGATATTTAGTGTCTCTGAAGATGTTGTCATGAACATTTCTTCCATTCTGGTATTTATCTCATTTTAGACTTACAATACGTGAGAATTGCTTTACTTTCTGGGATAATGGAATGATTCTCACCTATTTCTTCTCTGTTACTGTATCCCTTGTTGAAAATGATGCTTTTCACTCATGCTCCGTCCAGTTTTCTGTTGAGTGTTGCATTTAACACCAGTTGGTACATACACATTTTCTGATGTATTTGTGAGGATTAATCTTTGTTCCACAGAACTAGGACATTAAGGATAGGTAGTTTCATTCATGAAGCAATAGGAAATCATTAATCAGTATTATGCCTGATTAGTTGTAAATAAGGTGAAATGCAGACTATTTTTCCTCTTTATATTTCTGTGTCTCTGTATTTACCTAAGGCAAATTATGATAGTACCATTTCTCTAATTAGGTGATTTGTTCTTTTTTTTTCTGCATTTTAACTGCATTGTCAGAGCCTCTTTTAAAAATCACAGTATATTTCCTTTGTGCACAGCTTTTAATTGATAATCAATAGGACTCCAGTAGTCAAATATTATGAATGGCAATTAGAAACCAGAAAACCTTAATGCACTAATTAGCTCAATTTAGCCATCCATTACATGTACATATTTTAAACTGCCATGTGATCTATGATAATGATGTACAATGTTTCCATTTCAATTTTTTATTTAAATAATTTATTAAAATCTTAATTTATACTTTGAAATATTTAGAACGCATCATTACTCTATAGGATGCTGTGATTAACAAGATGGAAATGCTTCAGAACATTTTTTCACCTTACTCTGCTACTACAACGGACAGAAAACAAAGAGAAGCAAGCATACAGTGCTTTTGATTCTCTTATTTACTAGTATGACTTTGAACAATAAAACCTTTTACTTATCCTAACTTTCCTTTCCCTTTTTTAAAAATTCCTTCATTCTTCATTCCCTCCCTTTCTTCATTCCTTCTTTCCATTCTTCTTACATGTCCCATACCTTAATAACTTGAATAAGTCGATTTATAAAACTACATTTACATAAAATTACACTTATAGACATGACTACTGTCTGAATCTTGTGTACAGAATTTACTCCAAGTTCCTATTCATATAAATGAAAACAAGATTTTCCAGACAGACAAGAAATGCCACTGTCTGTGGAAAGACACAATCCTAGCGGGTTGATTCTATGTTTGGACCAGTACTCAGACAGACAGCCTGGGGCAACATGATGTGGAGGTGTTGGAATGTTATCAGTGCTGTGTGTACTAAGTGAAACAGGATGGCAGCCGGAGATCTGAACTGAAATAGAAATATCACTCTCAGCTCACACCTGTGAAAGCAGAATGTGAGTAAGGCGGTAGGCTTTACTGATATTTACTTGTGTTTATTTTTTTTTATCAAACTGGTGCCACATGAGATGAAATAAGAACATATATATGATACACACACATATATGATATATTAGAATTTTATAGTCTTGAAATCTATTTTAAGGATTTTATCATTCCTGATTTCTATAATACTTCAATATTTTTACGTTTTATGATTAAGAATAATAAAGCACATTAAAATTAAATCTTAATATGGTTTAAATGAAAAGGTATGACATCAATAACTGCCTATAGTTCTTCGTGTAGGGTTGAGACCCTACACATTTTTTCTATCACCATAACATGTCCATTGATACTGATATTCCTCTGGTCTAGTTCCTGCAGCTATTTCTTTTATTTTTTAAAATAATGTTACATGCCAATCATAGTTCCCCTCCTTCCTCTCCCCCTTTTTAAAAATTACTTACATACCAATTATAACCTTCCATGGGTACTAAGCTGCCATGGCACATCAATTCCCATTAGGACTAAGTGTATCCTCTTTCACTGAGGCCAGACAATGCAGCCCAACTAAACGAAGGCAATCCAAGGGCAGGCAACAGAATTAGAGATAGCCCCTGCTCCAGTTGTTAGTGGACACACATGAAGACTAAGCTGTTCATAGGCTACAAAAACATAGGGACCTCAGTCCAACCCATGCATGCTCTTTGGTTGGTGGTTTAGTCTCTTTGAGGCCAGATGGGCCCAGGTTATTTGACTCTGGAGGGCTTGTTGTAGTGTTCTTGAGTCATCCAGATCTCTTGATCTTTCTCCATCTCTTCCAAAGTCTCCCTGAGCTCTGTTGAATGTTTGGCTGTGGTCTCTGCATCTGTTTCCATATACTGATGGATGAAGCCTTTCAAAAACTAGTTAGGGTAGGCTCCTGTATGCAAGCATAGCAGAGTGTCATTAATAGTGTCAGAAGTTGGCTCTCTCCCATTAGGTTGGTTTTAAGTTGGGCCAGTCATTGTTTGGTCATTCCCTCTATCTTTACTCCGTCTTTATGACTTTAAGTCTCATAGGCAGGACAAAATTTAGGGGAAAGATTCTGTGGGTGAGTTGCTGTCCCTCTACCTCCACAGGAAGTCTTCCTTGGCTATATGATGTGGCCATATCATTCTTCATATCCTCAGCGGCTAGGAATCTCATTTAAAATGACTCCCATAGACTCCCAGGAGCATCCTCATTATCAGGTCTCTGGCTCATCCCAGAGATGCCAACCTCACACTAGTCTTCACTTGTCTCTCTCTCAGCCATCTTCTACCTATCTCCCACTCCTCTCCCCATACCTGATCCCCATCACTTCTCTTACCCAGATCCCTCCTTCCAATCTACCTCCAATGTCTATTTTATATCATCCGTCTTGAGTGAGATTCAAACATCCTCTCTTGGGCTCTCCTTGTACTTACCTTCTTTGGGGCTGTGGATTGTAGCATGGTTATACTGTATATTAGGCCAATATGCTCATACAAGTGAGTACATACCATTCTTGTCTTCTGGGTCTGGGTTACCTCATTCAGGATGATATCCATTTGGCTCCACATTTCATCATGTATTTGATTTTAATAGCTGAGTCATTCCATTGCGGAAATGTACATTTTCTATCTCCGTTTCTTGAGGAACATCTCGATTGTTTCCAGTTTCTTGCTGTTATGAATAAGGTTGCTATGAACGCAGTTGAGCAAGCATCCTTGTGGTGCATGTTGTGATATGGTAGAGTTCCCATGCTCATGGATGGGTAGAATTAATATAGTAAAAATGAACATTCAATGCAATTCCCATCAAAATTCCAACTCACTTTTTAACAAACCTTAAAAGAGGAATTCTCAACTTCATATGGAAAAACAAAAATCCAGGAGAGGTAAAACAATTCTGCAGAATAAAAGAATTTCACAGTGTATCATCATCCCTGATCTAAAGCTGTACTACTGAGCAATAGTTAGTAAAACAAACAAACAAACAAACAAACAAACAAAAAACAGACATAGAGAGGTTGCTTAATGTAATAGAATTGAAGAATTGGAAATAAACTCACAGACCAATGGATACTTTATTTTGATAAAAGAAAATCTTGAAAATATACATATATAATCAAAAAATCTGACTCCAACAAACCAAATAGCTCAATTAACAAATGGAATACAGAGCTAAACAGAATTTTTTAAAGTTATTTTTCTCTTATTGAAAATAAATTTTTCTCATACAATACGTGATCCCCCTTTTTCCTCCCTTTATTCACCTCAGCTCCTTCTCATCTTCCCTCTCCTCTGAATACATTCCCTTTCTGTCTCACAGTAGGAAAGAACAGGCTTCTAGGAGATAAAATAAAAAATATAAAAAAACTATCACATTGAGGCTAGACAAGGTAAAACCAATAGGAAAAAAAGAGATCCCCAAAAGCAAAGATAAGAGAGACACATATATACACTCAAAAATCCCATAAAAATAGTAAGCTGAAACTGTAAAATATATACACTTGGATACACTTCTTTCCCATTTACCTTCAAAGAATAACAGGCCTCCTGGAGATATTATCCAAACAAAATCACAGTAAGCCTAATCACCAGCCTTCATATTACAGCTGGATGAGAGAAACAAATAATTGAAATAGGGTCTCAAGAGCAGGCCAAAAAGGCAATCCCTAAAGAACCCCAAGCAACACATGATAACATTTGCAGAGGACATAGTTCTTAACCACACAGCTTGGTGATTGCTGCTTTAGTCTCTGAGAGCTTCTGTGAGACTTGCTTTGCTGATTCTGTGGGCTATGGTCTCATGGAATCTTCTACTCCTCTGGCTCCTACTATTCTTCCTACTCATTTCTTCTCCAGGGTTGCCCTAGCTTTGACTAATGTTTACCTGTGGGCCTCTGCATCTGCTCCCATCATTTGCTATATGGTGGCTGTCTAATGACAATTGGATTAGGCAATTATCTATGAGTATAGCAGAATGTCATTAGGAATCATTTCATTGATACTTTTTTTTTTTCATCTATTTTCAATGGTGT